GAGACTCACCTTAAAAATGTGTTCAGTGTGTTTTGCTTTTCACAAAACATCAACAGGAATAGACTCCAGCCCCACTGGACAATGGATGGACCTCACAAAGTAGAATGTGGAGAATTCTGCTGTCACAAAAAGGAAAACATTTTTTTAAAAAAGTGTCACTTACAGCGCCCACTGGATTGGAGAAAAATACTGAGAAATACTTTACTTGGTTTCCATGTTGGAAAACGACCGAATCTCTCAGTAGGAAAAGAAAGGATGGGCAAATTGGTGGAAAAGCCAAAGGAACACAAATGAAGACAGTTTTTTTGTTTTTTTCCATTTATTTATCATAATTCTCAGTTCCAGAATTTCCATTCCATCACACAAAGCCCAAACTACCTCCTAACTACCTCTTTCAGGTGTAAAGAGCGAAGCTTCAGATGCAGAAAAGAGCACAAAGACAACACAGTGAGTAAACAACACAGACTCTTCTAAAAGATACAAAAAAGACAGGAAGCCTTTTTCTGGGTAGTTTTTTGGACATGTGGTGATGAGAAAATGAAGTCCATGCAGCGTTTTTTTCCTGTCTCCGTCCCCATTCAGTATAAACCGGACACACGGCGGCCTGACACCACAAAAGCCTGCAGGACGCAGCCAAGTTCCTCCTGCAATGTTTTAGTTAGCGCATTTGCTACTTGTGGGCCTCGACCGTCAAAATTTACCATTAAAGAGGTGGACGGAGAGAGGGTCTCAATTTCAGGAGTGCAGTGAAAAAATTATTTTGAGATTTTTAATCTATTTAAATAATCGGTCAATGCCACAGTTTCTGAAGCTGGACTCATGTCTGCAGATCTCTGGTCCGGCCCTTGTCCGTGTTCCTCAGACACAGAGTTCTGTGTTTCCCTCATCTGAACCAACGAAGCCGCACCGGGCCGGTGCTGGGATGCGGGTCCTGGGAAGCCGCCCGCCCAGCGGTCAGCGGCCCACGCTGATGATGGACCGGGCGGCCTGCAGGAATAAATATGTCCCCGGAGCCCGGCCGGTATCGATCGCCCGCTGTGTGCTCAGCAAACTCTCCCGCCGTAAATAAAAGAGCTAAAAAGTCCCCGTTGATCTGAAGGAGCTGACCGAGGCAGACCGGAGGAGTGGAGCCCAGCGCTTTGTCCGCAGTTTAAAATGAGTTAGTTTTTTTCCCTTTCTTTTTCCCCTGGAGGCCGGAGCTGGGTTCTGCCGGGCGGGGGCGGGGCCTACTTGGCGGCGGGCTCCCGGTCGGGCCGCATGCTGAAGGGCTCCAGCCGCTCGCTCTCGGGCAGCATGTTGTTGAGGCGCTCCATCAGCGGCGCCGTCTGGTCGATGCCCATCTGGATGCGGCGCAGGATCATGGACATCTCGTTGACCTTCTGGATCTGCTCGGCGTACTTGGCGTAGCGCTTCTGGCGCTCCTGCATGATGCTGAACAAGGTCTCCACCGACAGGTCCAGCTGCAGGGACACAGAGGACGAAAAGCTCAGCACCTCCTTCTGCTCTCGGTTCACACAGTGGAACTGGCTGACCCCACCTCTTTGATCCTCTTGACCAGCGCGTTCTGGTCGAAGGCCACGGCCTCGGCGCACTGGTGCAGGTGGTCCTGGTAGCGCAGGCAGAGCTGCATGACCTGGCCCGCGTCCAGCCGCTCCAGGCTGACGCTGCTGGGGGACGTCTGGCCGCTCAGCACCCCTGCAGAGACAGCGGGCGTGAGGGGGGCGGCGCGCTGGACACGCTGGACACGCTGGACACGCTGGACCCCAGCAGCACTTCACCGCAATTACAGCAATTAGCCCGCCCAGGATGTGACACCGGCACCCGTCCTGCTATCCCGCTGGAAACCTGGCTCATTATCCACTCTCTAACACAGCGCTAATGGCTTTTAGTGGCAATCAGAATGTGAAAATAGAACAGCGGGGGCAGAAAAGTGAACAGAACTCTCCACGTATGGAAAGTAAAAAATGACTAAACTTACGAGGAAGTGTCTAATCCCAAAAATCTTAACTTTATGTTGTCGAGATGTAAAAACAGAAGAAGAAACGGTTGTCTTTGATGAAAGTTCCTCTCCGTATATCTTATTTATCCTTATTTATCCTAAATGTGGCCCAATTATAGAAAGCAGCAAAGAAAAATAACTTCCTTCTCTCTTAGAGGACCAGTTCTCCGTATGCAAGTTGCGATGAGCAGAGCTCTTGGGAATATATATATATATATATATATATATACACACACTGATCACAGATTCAGTTATGATCCACAGAGATTAGTAGACTTATGAAAACTGCTCATACAAAAAATAAAAGAGGGTAATTTTACTGTGGCGCTTTACATGGTTTTTGCCATTATTAAATTAAGATGTTATTATACACAAAATGATCCTACTAAGAATACATGGTATAATAAATAGATGGATGGATTTCCTCCTGCCCAAGTCCTCTGCCTGCCTCACCTGATCCGACTACTTCTTGGACGGTTGGCTCCACTAACACTACTTTTATAACAGTCAAACTTGCCCGTTATGAGGGCTGAATGAGGCTCAAACCACGTGTCCTTTCTTCCTACCCACCTTTCAGGAGCGGCTGGAAGGTGGGGATCTCCTGCAGCTTGATGACATCGGGATCGTTGTGGATGTTCCGCAGGGACTGAGTCCCCTGGGCCACAACCACGATGTCATCCATCTTGGCCTTCTGCCTCGCCGGGGACGGCACCGCTGCAACCACACCAAAACACACACACACACACACAGAACTCAGCTCAGCTCACTCTGACGTCAAAATAATGTTTATGGGAAGAACAGAAAGAGGAGTAGAGTGGTACAGAGGTATGAGGAAGAGTTAGGATAGGAGATGCTTTGTGAAGAGGTGGGTCTTGAAGAGTTTCCTGAAGATTGAAAGGGATGCTTCTGTTCTTGTAGCTTGGTAGGTCGTCCCACCATCTTGGAACAACAACTGAAAACAGTCTGGATGGTCTTAAGGTTGGTGCAGCTCTGCTGGACCACAATCCTCTGATGACCGAAGGGACCGAGTTGACATGAACCTTTGCAAGAGGGTTCAAGTAGGGAGCCGTCGCCTTAAGCGCTTTGTAGGCTAGCATCAGGGACTTGAATTAGAAGCAGCAGCCAGAAGTAATCAGGGGTAACCAGTGAAGCTTAGTGAACAGAGGGGGTACATGAGACTTTTTGGGCTGATTGAAGTCCAGACGCGCTCTGTAACGGTTTTACCGTCCAGGCTGGGAGACCAGTGTGTACGGTAGGATGACCAAAGGGCCTCAGCAGCCACAAAAATGTCCCCCGTACCATCTCGGTTGAGACAAGTGGGACAAAAAGGATTTATACTTAGTAGATATATCTACTTAGTGTAGATCCTTTCTGTTTGTTGAGTTTGTATCGTTGTGAGACTGTTTCATTCATTCCATTCAGAGGGTATTCAGAGGTATTTAGTTAAAGCTGTATTTTATAATACAGAAGAGGTCATATTTAGAACATGATTTGAAGTTATTCATGTATTTTAAAGGAGGGCTATCACTTTGTTACTGGTTGTGTTTTACTGCAGAAGTTCTTTTTGTACCATTGAAGTATAATAAAGCCTGTTCATGAACCTCTGAGAAGCCTGTCTGAATCCGTCTGGAGGAAGATTGTCCTCCTTTTTGGAAATCAAAACATGGTCACCCTACTGTACGGTAATAAGAGAAGTGACGTACTGCTGTCATGTGGGGACTTAATGCGCAGCTCTTCGTTGCTGTTTTCGGTAAAGGTGGCTAAATAAACAACTGTAATAGTAAAAATGTGAGTTACGTAGGTTATTTTACAGTCTAAGGGTGGAGGGTGGTTCTTACCCGAGGAGCTGTAGTCGGAGTGCTTGTGCTCCGCATCCCCGCTCTGCTCCGCTCCCATGGTGCTAACGCCGGGCTAGCAGGCTAGCAGTCAGCTTCAGCCGGCTATTCCGCAGCACAGCTCAAAAACCGCGTCTCCAGGTCGTACACAGGTTCTTAAGGCTTCATACAACTTCGAAACACACCCGGGGTGTCAACATGACAAACGGAGAGGACTGGGACTGGTTAGCTTTGCGACGCTGTACCGGCTAAGCTCAGCGCAAACGAGTCTGCTGCTCTCCCTATGAAGCTGCTCGGGTTCTCAGTCGAGCATCAACGTAGCAGTGTGCGCAACTTAAAACAAAGCTGGGGTTATTTTACACGAAATATTATTTACACTTCTTTCTGAAGGAGCTTCCGTAAATAACGAGCCTCGGGTCTGTCCAAGTGTATACAGGAGGAAACGCCACTGCCCCCTGCTGCCTCGGAAGTGTCATTACATACAAACGCAAACCTCCAGAACACACAATTTTCTGGCATCTTCCGTTAATCTAAAAAAAATGTATTATACAAATACTATCTGTTCTCATGAATAAGTATTACCGGTTACTATATAAATACACAAATGTATTTATACAGTTAATTAGGCTATCCAGTCTGATAATGGTTAGGGATTTTTTGTTAAGGACTTTTGTATGGATAGCATTTTAGATAGGGCGCACAGGGAAAAAGACAAAGAAACACATTATAAATTCACGCTTGTTTTTTTGGAGAAAGCTAACTCTTAAAAGTATAACTTGAAATAAAAAACACTTTAGTCAATATTATGTTATACAAAAACATTTTTGTGAGAACATTTATAAAAACACAATTCTCTTAAAATACAGTTATTTGTGCTTATTGTTTTAAACTTTACACTTTTAATTTTTTGTTTTACTTAACTTCAACTATTCAGTAAACTACTGAATTCAGATAATGTGTGCATAAACTAGCTATTAAATGTGCATTCAGCGAAACGTTTGAGCTTTAAACTGTCAGCTCAGAAACATGGGAATCAGAAGAACAGTCCGTGGCAGAGCTCACAACCAAATGTGAATGGGTATGCAAATATCGAGTGATAAAAACCGGGAGATAACTGGCCAATCTGCATAAACGGCTGAAGACAAACGGACACTCTGCTCCTGCTCTCAGGCTGCTGTGGTCACTGCGTCGGCCCGGTTCCCGTTGTCCTCGTCCACCAGAGGGTACGGTCGCAGGTCCAGGGTCAGAATGCGGCTGAACATGCATCCGTCAAACTGGGGAGAATAGAAGGCCATGTTGGTTGGTGTATAACAGCACAGGGGTTTAAACCTAACAGGGGATCCTCACGTCTGAGTAGACTCCCAGCAGAGCGTCGGACTTGGAGAAAAACTCCTCCTTCAGGGAAATGACGATGATCTGCATGTTCTGCCTGGACTCGTCTCGGATGAAGCTCGTCACCTGGAGGGGACGAGGGGCCCAGATATCATTTCATCTCCATCCTGAGGCCTTGAGTCCTCTTATGAGGACACTGCATTTTTGCCTCTCTTACCATGACACTTCTTTTTTCCCTTTGACCTCTTGGCCTTATAGTAGACGCTATCAGACACTACCGTTTGAAATCTAAAGTCAAATGGTTTTACACATTTTCAACCAATCCTGTTCTTATTGTGTAATTAAAATGTAGTAAATAAGTCATTTGGACCGTCAGAAGCAAACTGCAGAGAAAACATTAAAATAAATTCTTAAATCCAAAGATTTCGGGCTGACTTCAGACCCATTGTGCCTCAGCAGAGGAGAAGAGGGATGAGATGAATTGGGTTTTATATGACGCCATTTCACATTCCCCAAAGGTAAAGGGAACGGTAAACTAGCAGAGATACAGAGGTGGACAGATGTCCGATTTGAGAGGACTAGTCCATTTTAGTCCCCGTCTCACCTTGCCAATGTTGGAGTTGTCCAGAGCTGCATCCACCTCATCCAAGATGAAGAAAGGAGCCGGTCGGAAGCTGGGAGGAAGGACATAAAACATCAGCTTCCTAACTCCTCACATGCAGCTACCCTGCCATGTGTATCACCAAAGTCTGACAGAAGGATGAGAGACAACCGACACCAACAGGAGCCAAATGAAGAAATGAGGGCATTTTGCTGCTTTTAACGGAACAACAGTCACCTCCAATGTCTTCAAACATATAATGTAGATATTTGAAGTGTGCTTCAGCCATACAAATACTAGGGAAAGACTTTTGAGTTAGATTACCCACAACCTTACAGTCCCTGTTCTACTTTAGCCTCTAACGGTGAGGCCTGGGTCACCTGTGTATGGCGAACAGCAGGGCCAGAGCAGCGATGGCCTTTTCTCCGCCCGACAGATTGTCCATGGACATGAAGCGCTTTCCTGGGGCCACGCAGTTGTAGTTGATGCCGCCGAGGTACGGCTCGTCTGGGTTCTCTGCACTCAGGATGGCCTGGAGGCAGCCAGGAGCGAGCGTTAAGGGGCTGTACTCAAACCTGTCATTTACACCCTCAGCCTGCTGCATGTGTAATGATGATTATGGACAGCGGAGTATTTTTTCCAGGCATATTAGTCTCTGATTCCAGAGACAGTTTCAGCTAAAGCTCAAAGGGTGCCCATTTGTGTGCTGTGTCTCCAAAAACAAAGCGCTTGGTGGTCTGACCTGAGCGCTGCTGTTCCTGCATATTCTTTTGTAGAGCTGATCGATCACGATGGACACGTGTTCGAAGCACTGGCTGAAGAGCTGGAAGCGCTGGGCTTTGACCTGCTCAAACTCCTGACTGCACTTCCTGGCTGCCCTGGTGCTGGCTTCAAAGGCTAGAGTGAAGAAAGGGAGCCTTGGAAATCAGATTTTCTGGAGGCGAGATCTCTGGAGCGGAAAGTCTCGCTTGCCCGTCTATCGATGTGACGCAGGATTCTGGGTTTGGCAGTAGCAAGGGGAATGGCTCTTGTCTGCGTTTGTGCAAAGTGTAAAGTTTAATGGTATCGGGTCATATGAGACAACATTCCATCTCACAGACTATTTAGACCCCCAGTGGGTCATGTGCATTGTTATCATAGGTTTGGAGTTACTGTCCAATCCGAAGTATCTGAAAATTTCCCTCAATTGTTCTGGACTGTACTGGATTAAAATTATAGCAAATTTGATAGCAAATACTCTAGTACTTTAACTAACTGATTTTAATACTTTTTCCTCCACTGACTGTAAAGTGCATGTTCACAGAAACCTCAAATGTAACCCCCCCCCCCCCCCCCAAAATGCAGGAAATTTGGAACAGGAGAAGCAAATCTGATAGTGAGGAGCCTTCGATAATGTCTGTAAAAAATAGATAACATCTGGCCTCCAGAGCAGAGAAACAGCTGTATGAATGATTAAGAGGCTCCATCTTCTGAGTGGTAAATATTAGAGCAGATGCAGATCCCCGATCAGAATTTCCTGTTTGAGTGATTAAGAGCACACACTGAGCTATTACCTTCCGTCACCCCCTGGAGCTTGTCTTTCACCTCCCGCATCCTCTCCAGGGCCTTCAGGTTGGGTGTGGTGGTGCAATGCAGCACTCCTTCTAAGGACGAGACCGACTCCCTCAGCCTCTCCAGGTGGGCCTCGATCTCCTGCTCAGCCCGCAGGTTCTGTGGGCGCACGGAGCGTGAGCAGCACAGAGACGGGGGGGGGGGGGGGACGGCGATAGCTGATTGGATGCCTCACCCTGAACTCCGGCAGCAGCTCGGAGTAGTCGATGACCAGCTGAGCTTCTCTCTCATAGATGTCCATGGTGAGCGAGGTGCTCTCTGAATCTGTTTCCAGCTGTGCAGACCACAGGGACCAAACTCTCATTCCTTTACCTTTTCAGCTACGGTTTTAGGGGAAACGTCTGTAAGTCTGCGTATTTCTGAGTCCTACCTGCACCTCGCTGACTTCGTCCAGGCTCCCTGACAGCAGGGTGATGGGCAGGCCCTGGATCTTACAGCCCAGCAGCAGGTTGTGTCGCGCCATGCGTTTCTGCTCCAAGGCCGTCTCGGCAGACATCACCTCCCTCTGAAGCTTCGTCAACTCTCTGAGAGGAATAACAAACGTTTGGACCTGCTGTGCTGAAACACATGAACGTCTAACCACTGAGTCACTACTGGAACCTTTACTTGTTCATTTCCTGAAGGGTTTGAGAGTTCTGTTCCAGCTCGGCTTTGACAGCAGCCACCTGACTCTTTTTAGTGAGCAGCTGGTTCTTCAGCTCCAGCAGCTTTTTCTCCCCCTCCTCCACCACCTCCAACAGCTTCTCCTCATCCTGCAGGACGCACATACGCCCAAACAAAACTAACCTGTCACCGTCCACCCTTTCAGATCTGCATAGACGGTAAAAAGCTGAGAGGATTACCTCCTTCCCCCGGAATGCCATGCCCTCCTCCTTACTGATGGAGTCTTCCGCTTTGACCAGCTTCTTCTGCTCCTGCTCCAGCTGCTCTTCCACATACTCCAGCTGCGCGTTCAGGCGGGCGCACTGACTCTCAAACTCCAGCCTGAAAGCAGACGTGTGATTTGTTTGTGGCTAGTAAAAACAGCTACCGGCATGCTCATTTTTGCCAACAGTAACAGTAAAAATGGCCACAGACTCGTAGCAAAGCAGAAAACGTTCCAGTGGAATGTCTGTACCGTTTCTTGTCGAGCTCTGTCTGCTGTTTCAGGTTCTCCTGCTCATATTCTCTGATGGAGTCCAATCCGATTTCAGCACAGAAAGAGAAAAACACCCGATCTTCCATCTAAAACACACAAGGGATCTTCACTGCCAAACACCCAGAGAGCAGCACTTGATAAACCCACTTTTTAAATGGGAGAAATCAGGCACAAACACAGGTCCTAGCACAGATGTTGCAGTAGTAACACAGGCTGTTATAATTACTCATTTTAGTTATTGAGCTTTTTTCCCCTTTTTGTTTGTCTTGTTGTATTTGTTACTGCTATTCTATGCTTTTGGGACTGTGATCATTATCAGTTTAGAATCAGAATGTATGTAGCGTGACCTGATGCGACAAACCATCTGTTTTAGCCAAAAAACAAAAGTTGAACCTTTTATGCCCCTATGAAACACTCTGTTTCTTAAAAACAGTTAATATCCAATCATTCATCACCTTTCCATCAAAATTTGTTGTTCAAAATGTGTTTTTTCCTCTATCAGAACAGAGGGGAAAAAAAACTCTCACAGGTGTAATCCTAAGTGTGACCCAATTTAGGAAAGTCAGTGTATCTCAGAACAGCATTTTCCTTCTCTTTCTCTGGTCATTTTTCAATTAAAGCCCTTCAAATTCAGAGCCTAACACAGGGGTCGGGAACCTATGGCTCGCGAGCCAGGTGTGGCTCTTTTGATGATTGCATCTGGCTCGCAGATAAAACAAAATATTCTCACTTGTATACAAATACAAGCTACAAATATCCATCCATCGATTTTTCACTGCTCATGTCCTGTTCAGGGCTGCAGGAGCAGAGCGCTCTGTGCAGGAGCAATTGTCCATTATTTTAATTGGATGATACTGGACTACGTTGGCCGTTGCAGCGTAAAACAGGTAAACGCCCCCTTTTCAATCAGTCTGCTCGGTCATTAGCTCAAAGCTAACCCTTCGACGAAGAAGATGGCAAAAAGAAAAAAAGATGACGAATATCGTACATTTCAGGACGAATGGACTGAAAAATTTGCCTTTGTGGAGAGAGCAAATTCTGCGGTGTGTCTAATTTGCAATAACAAAATTGCATCGATTAAACGGTCGAATGTAAAGCGGCACTTCGACACGAGTATTATAACAACATTATTCAAAAGAATAAATTCAGAGGCTTATTATACTGACATTTAGTTGAATTCACTTTTAAAATATATTATATGGCTCTCACTGAAATAAATTTCCAAATTTTTTGCTTTCATGGCTCTCTTAGTCAAAGGTTCCCGACCCCTGGCCTAACAGTAATAACGGCCTAACGCTGGCCATCGTACTGAAACCCGCTGTTCCTGCTCTGCAGATGTTCGTACCTGCTCAATCTTCTGTCTGATCTTCTTCATTTGTTCGTTCTTTGCCTCCAGGCTCTCGAGCTGCATCTGAATCTGACAGTCCAGGTTTGCTAATTCGCTCTCCATTCGAGAGATCTCCTGAAACCAAACAGAAGGCAAAGTCGGCTCGGAGTGAGTGATGCAAACTACAAATTTTATTTCAATTTTTACATTTTCCTTTTGTAACTGAACCACAAAAAGTCAAGAGGAAACAGTTCAATTTATACATGCTGATCACAATGCAGGCAAATGCCAAAGATCAACAAGTAAAGGAATTGTAAACCATTAAATCAATTCCTTCTTATATAAAACTAAATGTTCATCCATCAGCTCTATACTTCCCGCTGTCTGGAATGGAGACAGACTCTGTTTATTTCTCCATTATCCTTGACATGTACCGTCACAGTCCTTCCCTTTGTTGGACCACATGTCAGTGGTCAGGTCTTCTCACACATCTGAAGTCATTTTCAGTCGTTATAGGAGCTTCATAAAGTACACTACAACTATACTGTACAATATAAACCCGTAGCAATATGGCAGACATCTGCTTCTGCCTTATCTCTTTCACTGGTGAATGACTTTGTATGGAGGTTTGTTTTAGGACTCTCTTCATACATGTTTGTATGGCCCTGATGCACGTGGTGGCACAAATTATCTCAAACCTTTGCAGGAAACCTGTTCACGACTTTCTCTCCTGAACACATTACTTTGCCGCCTTGCTGGAACTTTGAATCCGAGCCTTCCCCACATAATCAAGGTTTTATTTTTCTTTAAACGCACTAGCTCCCCTTTCCATAAATTGGCCTCCATTTTTCTCGGTGCTGCAGAAGTGAGGAGTGAAGGATGAGGTGGGAGCTGGACTCCAGCTCAGGGAAAGTTTGTGTTTTCATAATGGGGAGTAGAAACAGGCAAACTTGAGGCCCTTTTAGAATAACTCCCACACAACATGGATTTCACAGATATATATAATATTCTTTATCCTTTATCTCTTAAAAAATCTTGTTGATATCATTAGAAAACTCCATATGTTGGTCAGCCGTAACATCACATATATTGTGATTTGGTTAAAAAAAAATCTTTACCTCTAGTGTGTTAAATACGGGTAGGCTCCTACCTCTTCGCATCGGGGGATGGCCTTCTTCTGCAAGGTTTCTAGATCCGTTTTGGAATACTTCAGTCGAGTTTGAGCTCCCTGAGCCTGAGCCACGATCTGTTTCAGCTCCGACTCCTTCCTCTTGAGCCTCATCAGATCCTGCCACGGAGAGGAAACTGAATGATTCAGCGATAACTTCGCAGTGCTTTCGGCAGAATGAGTAATCACAAATAACTACACGGCAGATTAGCTTTCTGCCATCTCTTCACGAATGGACTCTTGGCTCACGTGCAGCTCTTTAATCAGCCGATCCTTGCGTTCCTTCAGCTGCAGCATGTCCTTTTCATCCCAGCAGCGAGCTTTGGTCCGCAGGTAACTGGAACCCCCGGAGATGACGCCTGACGTCTTAAACAGCGTCCCATCCAGGGTGACCGTCTGTGGGAAAACACAGACGGTCACAAAAAGCACCAAAAGAATTTTTGTGATTTCATTGGAGACAGGATTTACCCTCCTGCGCTCTTCTCTGTCAAAGGCCACTCTCCTGGCGTCTTTCATGGTTTCACACACCAGGGCATTGCCACACACATACTGCAGCACTTTTCTCAGCTCGGCCGCGCCTGTGGCGGCGTTCACCTGGACCACATCCATCAACATCTTGGCATCAGGAATCTCCCTCAGTCGTAGGTTCAGAGGACTAACCTGAGACGAGACGGTCATCAGTGGAGCGCACTCGCGGAATAAAGCGGGTCAGTTTGTCTGGGAGGAGCTGTACACTGACCACCAAGTAGTCGATGGGCAGGAACGTCTCGGGCTCGGCTCGCTCCTCCTTGATGAACATGATGCAGTCACGGGCTACTTTCTCGGACGTCACCACGATGGCGTTCATGTTGCCGGCGAACACCTTGGTGACGGCCAGCTGGTACTTCTTGTGGATTGGGCTGCACAGGTCGCACAGTCGGCCGTACTGCGGCAGGAAATGCACAGGTCCAGTGAAAGGCTTAATCAACTTTTACAGATGTCAGGAAAGGCTAAATGACATGAAGAGCTAAAAGGAATTCCTCCCTGAAACATCAAAACTGGTTCAGATAGAATTCTCGAGCACTTTGGTGTCTCTGAAGATGTTTAACAAAGAAATCCAAACCAACAATTAGCTGGAGCGGGAGGATTTTATCCATCCACGTAAATGCCCGTCTTACCACAGTTTGAGGAAAGAGCCTGCGGAGCTTCTCGAGCAGCTCTCTGCGCTGCAGCTGCCGCTTGCTCTCGTGTCTGTCCAGGCGAGCATTGCCCAGCTCCTCCATAACCTGGCCCAGCTGCTGGTTGACCTCCTGGCTGCGCTGGGAGGCGCGCTGAAGCTCTGCGCTGAGGCTCTCCTCGCGCTGACGGCAGTCCTCAAGGCTCGACCTGGTCATGTATCCAAATCAGCCGTTAGCTTTCAGTGGCCAAAGCAACCGCACAGTTCGGTTAAAGGTGGGAAAACGTGGAAGGGGCCTTGACTTGTGTAAGCATTTTAGTATTTTGCACTGATCTGAAAGAGTTCTACTGGCAATTTATGAAGACTGTGGGAACAAAATAAGGCTGGGCTCAGAGCAGTCTCAAACAAAAGCACAAAACAAGTAGAGAAGATGCAGATTAAGCACATTCTGAGTTGAATCCCTGCAGAATCTAAGCTAGCGCAGAGGGAAGGACCTACTTGCAGCTCTTGTTGTACTCCTCCAGCTTCTCTGCTCTGGTTGTCAAGTCTTCCAAGTGGGTTTGACTGTTTCTGATGGCCATCTGCAACAAAAAAGATGGTGAAGGACAGAGTATTTAGAGATATACCATTTACAGACTTTTCCACAACTAACATGTATTACATTTCTGCCATGCCAGCTCTAAGGACATATAGCCATAGATGAAATGGGACTTTACCTCCAGTTCCTTCTTTCTGCGCTGGTCAAAAGACATCTTTTCACTGTCCGCTCTCACCTCCCAATGCAGTTTCTCAGCCTGCTGGCTGAGGACGGCCCCCTGCTTCCGGGCCAATTCTTTCAGCTCCTTATACTGTTCTAACTATGACAAATGCATTCAAAAGCTTCAATTAGTTTTGTTCCTCATTATGGCAAAGCTCAGGTGGGGGTTTATGTTGACTGATCTCACCTGATCCTCGTCCAACTCGACGTCCCTCCCCTGTACAGTCCACTTCTCCTGAACCTGCTTCTCGTGCTTCTTCCAGGTTTTCTCAAGTTCGGCTATTTCCTTACGGCCTTCTTTCAGGTCCTGCTCCATCTTGGCCAGCAGCCTCCTGCTCTTCTTTGCAGCATTGCGGATCTCCTCAGCCTTCTTTGCGTGATGAGAGGTGTTAACTTTGGCTTTAATGTACTGAGACCGAGACTGGGAGAGGACGTGCTCCTGACCGCTGTCCAGCAGAGTGAAAGAAGACCAAAACAGACATTAAAATGGATACCCGGACACAGTTTTTCCCATAAATGGTTCAGGCCACACAGTGAAGCCCACGCACCGGATCTCCTTCTCGATGTGCTGCGTTTCTCTGCTGAGGCGGCCGTGTTCTTTCTTGTGGGCTTTGACTGTCTGCTCCCAGCTGAGCAGTTTATTTTTCTGAGCAGCTGCCGCGTTCTGCCTCCCCTTAAGCCTGTCAGTGATGGTGCCGATGCCTCTCTCGTTTTGGTAAAGCTCGGCAAGGCTCAGCTGCAGGCGGCTTTGGTGAAGATCGTCGACCAGCGCCTGGTATTTCTGGGCCTGGAGGTGGGACAGGTGGGGAAACAGAAATGAATGCAGTCCATCAGATCACGCCAAATCCAAAGGTTTATGGGTTCTAATTTATTCCTGCCATTATTGATTCATATACAGCAGAGGTGGTAATTGTTCCAGTGTTTGAGCCAGTTAGAGAAACAAAACTTTTGCTTTTTAATAAAAAATAAATGGATTAGTTTTGTGTGTTTCGTTTGAGTGTGCTAAGAGTCACAAGCAACCATCAGTGTTCTGCATGAACAGGTTCAAAGGAACCCTTTCGTTTTTCTGAGAACAAACTGAGCACATAATTCTTGTCAGAGTGAATTGTTCAGGTTGTGCGAGGTCCTATAACAGCATGTCACTGGCATGGCCTACATTTTCCCACTACACTACGTAACCCACGATGCATTGGGCACCCGAGCATAAGAAACCATAAGCAATCCCGGTGTGGTCCTGCTTCGAGAATGGAAAGTTAAGGTGAAAAGACAGAAACTGCCCATTTACAGATTAATTATCAATGTATGCATGTTCTCTCTGGGTAGTCTGGCCTCCTCCCACAGACCATAACCAGGCATCTTAGGTTAACTGGTGGCTCTAAATGATAATCTCTCTGATGACAGTTGGGATGGGCTCCAGCACCCCACATGACCCTACTAGGAATAAGCGGCGTAGAAAATTGATGGAGAGACATCCGTTCCACATATGCATCCACAATTTCATTGAGAGACACAACATAATAGATTTAGTCCTTTTCATTCTCACTTCTGACATAAAAACTAGCCCAACAGGACATAAAATACACACAAACACATTCTGAAATCAAAGGCGACAGGTGAGCTTTTGCAGTTCTAAGTGACAATGAAATTGAAATATCAAAACCTGTTAAAATTTCATGTGTTAGTTTAATTAAACCATTTTGGTTTTTAAAAATGTTGTTGCAGCTTGATGCCTTCATTTGGAGCCACCTTGGATCAGCCCAGTGAGCTGTTCCACCTGGTGTAACTTAGTACTCAGAAGCCAGGCTATGAGCAGGGATGTGTCTGGTCACTTACATTCAGGGGAAATTCAACTGGCCCAAGGAAGTATTCATTTGGATTTTTTTTTTATTGGAAGTGTACACTTACAAAATATAGGGCATGAGAGCTTACACACACATAAGAAAAGCAAGAAAACAAACATGAAACCAGCAAACAAATTAAAAATACAGGGACGTTTATTCCAGATATTTATTTGATTTAAAAGAATTCAATTAAGAGAAAGAAACATATTTGCACACTTTTTTGATTTTTCAGTTGACTTCCATATAATCAGGCAGATCTATGACTGTTACTTTTAAATGATGATTACAAAAGACACTGTGAAAATGTATATATAAATAAAACTATGATAGTTAGAATTAAAGTATTTCAATTGAATTAAAGCTATTTAGTGCTAGAGGTAAATGAAACCCTTGATCTCTATTGCAGGAAATGTTATAATACTTGTGAACCAACCACCTGCTCAATATCACACACGTCCCTTGATTATAATTCAGTGATAATGTGTTTTCTTTTTTATCTACAGCAGGGTAGACACCAGGGATGTGAATTCTCGCATGTGTTTTTCTTACCTCCATTTTCTCCTGGGACACCTGTTTCCTCTCCACAGTGGCAGATTTTTTCTTGTTGAAGTGAAACTGGGTGTCCTCTTTGGCTTTCAGCAAGGCCTCTTTCTTCCTGTTGTATTCTGCCGCAAACTCCTTGGACTGACTAATGCACTCCAGCATTTTGGTTCTCTCCTTTGGGTCCTTCAAGGCTATGGATTCCACTGCCCCCTGGTGATGAGCACAGGGAATGACGGCTTCCATTAGGTCCAATCAGCTTTCACAAGTTGCCTCACTGTTTATGTTGTGAATTATTGATGCTCATGACGTTTTTATTATGTAAATATTTTACACCATTAAATTACTTTCAATGTTTGTTTATTTTATTTTTTATAATAGATTAATAATTAATTACTTGAACTATGCATTCAATATAGCATTAAATCTGTGTTTTGCTTTATCTACAACAGCATCCATTTCATAGTTTCTCCAATAACATACATTTTACTCAGGTAATTAGCATTTATATCAGATATTTCTTACATATGTACACAGAATTTATGGTATAATATTAAACAATGCTTCTCCAAAGCCTAATTTGAACCTCAGTCCAGTTGCTCTGTTTCCACTTCATCTGGTTAATTTCCCATGTTTAGCTGGCGACTGTGAATCATTGCATCTGCTACAAAAAACTGATATTTTGCCAATACAGGGATTCACACATACTATGAAATGCACATCCAAATCTATGGTTAAGTTAAATTTAGAGTAGCTGTAATATGACAGGAACGAATATCCAATTCTAGAGAATCTTACGCCACCAACTGCCTATTTGACTGGTATTTGTTAACAGATAACGGGTAGATAGTCTGATGTATATTCCTTATTGCATATTTTGTTATGATTCCTATCATGAAGATGCCTTTATTAATTATTATGCAACTCAATCACTTTTCATTTTAGCCAATTTGCAATGTTTGCAAATTAAATTAAATAAAAAAACAAGCTGACTCTCCACATTGTTACAATTTTTTCAAATGATATAACATATTTACCGCAAGAAAAAGGGTCATTAAAAAAATATGATATGAAAGCACCAATGAATCATATAAAAAAATATTACCAACCCTTGAGATCTCCTCTTTCTCCCTGTGAAAGATGAGCCACATAGTCTAGATGTACCCACCTTCCCTGAGCCAATGACCTAGGTAGGATTGAGCTGATGTAGTGTTTTACCTGGAACACCAAACAATTCTGAGCTTTGGTCACGACGCCAATCTTCTCAAGCGCCTCAATGTACGACATAAACGACACATGAACTCCATTTATGCGATACTCGGAGGAATCCCCTGCAGAAAAACAAGGTTGCACACATAAAAACGCAATATCCAATCACACGACAAAACTCCAGAACATGAGACCCAGACGTTTCTGCTGCAATATCACAAAACTCTTTCTGTTCTACGTATGAGACTACTGAATTGATTCCATTTATAATATATGTAGCTATGCATTTTTTAAACCACACTTTCAACTTTTAAAAAGGTTAAACAAACAATTTTTCTAAATTATTTTTCGGTTGACTTCTATATAATCACACAGATCTATGACTGTTACTTTTGAATGATGATTACAAAAAGACACTGTGAAAATGGATATGTATATATATATTCTAATGATAGTTAGAATTAAAGTATTTCAATTGAATTAAAGCAATGTAAGGGTAAATGTCAATGAAACCCTTGATCTCTATTGCAGGAAATGTTTTAATAATAACATAAATACAATTAAATGCTATAATAATAATGTCACACAACTCAAGTAGCCAACTTGTTTTCCTAGAAAAGCCATTTTACTGGGAGAAATTGGAGCTTTAGCAGCTCATCTTATAACTCTTTTGAATAAATCTCGATCATTTAAAAAATCTCAAGATATCGCCCAGCCCAAATTTAGACGTATTACCAAGTCAACCAAAGTGATAGTAAGATAACCAAAGTAAGAAAATGAATGTGGGCATGTCACTGACCATTGATTATCCGGCAGAAGACCGTCTCTTGGTCCTCGTCGTCCCCGTAGCGCAGGGCCACGCGGGCGCTGTTGGACACAGGCTGCCCGACGTGGGCTCCGTGAATCAGGTCTCTCAGGTGCCTCACTCGGAGGGCGGCGGCCCGCTCCCCCATAGCGAAGCTCAGAGCGTCCATCACGTTGGACTTACCTGTGGTTATTTATATTCTCATCTCACCAATGAAAAAACTCCCAAATATACCATAATTTATATAAAAAGTTCACTTTAAAATGCCTAACACACAAGCTCGGCTAACTTTAGCAGAGATAATTAAGCTAGCTGACACTTTTTTCTGGCCCGTGTTTTAACATTGAATAAATTATACCATTTTAAACCTAAACTTTTTTTTCTTTAACAAACATTATCTATCTTTTGATATAGGAAGGTATATTTATATCTTGCAGAACCCGAACATTGAAATAATCGCCGTCAATTTTGTTTTAAGTCTACAGAGCTAGCAATTCTCGCTATCAATTTTGGCTAATTATAAAATAAGCTAACTTATTTTAAACTCCACTTACCAGAGCCATTTGTGCCAATTATACAGTTAAACCGCATGAATGGACCGATAACTTGGTTGCCCCGCCATGACTTGAAGTTTTCAACGTCAATTTGTTTCAGATAACCCATCTTAGCCGCTTTGTGTGAGGTGCACAGGGGAGCTACTCTGCTACTGTAAAATTTACACTGCAATTTATATGAACGAAGTTCAAGGCGGGAAAAAAATAGTCAGTTGGTTACTTCTACTTAGACTTTACAAGTATTTTTTAAAAATGAGTGTAAAACTAAAAACAATTTAAAATGCTTAAACGTTATCAGTCTACAACCAAAGAAAGTTATAACCAACTCTTTGCAGATTCTTTTGGATAGCCAATTGGTGATTAAAGTATTCAGAAACTTCTAGAAAATGTTTTCACCACAGATATTGTGGCTTGTTTTAGTCCTTTAGTTCATATTTAGCTGTGCAAACTGGAATCCTTATTGTTACCCACAAGATCTTTGCAGAACTGTATTGTTTTAAAAGAACTATACAACATTAATTAGAATTTATCAAACTAATTTATGCTTATATTTGTATTGTTTATTGTTTAGTGGACATTTCTTAAATGTCAGAAATGCTTTTGGTTGCAGAGAAAGACAAAAGCAAGATCAGGCAATAGCTTAAGAGATTTATTGGAACAAATAGACAGTTTTTAAATTAAATAAAAAAACTTCCTCATAACCTTAGAGTGTATTTTCAGCTTAATTAGTTTATATTTATTTTGAAAAGAAAAGAGAACGCCTTGCATTTTCTTGGTGCCAGGAGGATTGAACAAACGTTTTCTTTAATTTAATAGCAAAAAAATTAAATATGATATTACTGTAAACAGTACAGTCAAAGTAGTACTCATGCTAAGTATTTGTCTGAGAACTGTACAAAAATACTACAAGTTACTTTAAAGTTTGAGATAGTTTTGAATGACATTTTTCAAAATAAAAAATACTATTTCCCTTCAGTGTCGTGGGTTGTGTATCTTTGGTTTATGTTCCAAGTTTTTATGTTTTGTGGACTGATTCTGGCCTCTGTTTAGCTGTGCCTTGGTTTCCTGTGTTGTATTGTGGTGTCATTCTTCATTTCCTGTGTTCTTCTACTGTGTCTCCACCAACTTCTCTTCCCTGAGCTATGATCATCCCTACCAAAGACATATATATACGTGTATTTATGTGTATGATCCCTACTCTCCTGACCTGTGGTCCCTGTGTCACCTGCTCTTCATTCAGCCATCTCTCTCCCTACATAAACCTCTCTGTTCTTTTCAAACCTTGCCAGATCCTTGCTGTGGGTCATGTCCGTGTTCAGGCACCTTCCTTCCTTATCCTCAGGTTTTTTTGGTTCTTTATTCATGTTGGTTTTAGGATTTTAGTTTTGTTTTCCCGAGTTAAGAGATAACTTTGTATCCAGATTCTGCAGTGGCTTTTGTTGTCTTTTGAAAATACATAGGATTTTTCCTGAGTTTCTTGCCTGCAACGACATAAGCTGGTGGACAAAACAAGCACCATTGTGAGGATGATGTTTTTTTTGTTTTTAATTAATCTGGTGTTTTTACAGTGTAACTTTTACTGTTGTGTGAGAAGCTCCAGAAAATGGAAGTGGTTGCCTTCTGGTGAACAGACTACATTTTATGCAACTGAGAGGTTGTGTGTCAGCCTCACAGCACCATCATTGGGGACTTTAAAATCTCTGTCTCTTCACTCTACATCTCAGTATCCACATACTTAGAGTCCTGCTTTGGTGACTGTAGCAGAATACAAACAAATAGTCAAATTGGGGTGAAGTGGGAACAATCCAGTTATTTTTATGTATCAACACACTCACCACAGATTTTGTTACTTATTTCTGCTCTTTAGATAATACTTCAGTTTAAATTTTTTATCTTTTCAACAAGATAAAAGGGCAGTCTGGGGACTGCTCTGAAGCTCTGGGAACTGATGATGCAGATTTCTTCAGAATAGAGAACAGAAACGAGTGCAGAGCCGCATTCATAACAGACAACACTGCACATCCTCTGGTTTACATAGTTATCCGATAATAAAGCACGTTAGATTAGAGGCTTTTGAAGCTCCTGTGTAACAACGAATGACATTTCATTATTGCTCACAATAATAACTCTGTGCAAAGATGTGAAATGTCTTCCTATTTTTGGATTGATGAAATCTAGTTTAACAGAACTGAATTGAATTAGTCTGGGATTGTTTGTCGGTGTGGCCTTGTGATGGACTAGGGACCTTATCAACTGGGTTAAGGTCCACCCCACCCCCCCACCCCCCCAATGTTGATGCGAATAACCGGTATAGAAAATGTTTCAAACATTTGTTCATGTTTGTAAGTGATTTAGCACTTCTGCTGCATACATTAAATACCTGCAGAGAGTAATGTATCTGGGCTCATAGTTAAACAAATAAAAGAAATGTCAACAATCTACTAATAATTCACTAACAATTCATTTATCATCCATCCATCCATCCATCCATCCATCCGTCCATCCATCCTTATATTAATTTAGATTTCTGTAGTACGACGTTAAATAATATAATGCAGCAAAGACATATCAGTCAGCTAAGAGTGTTGGATAGATAGAAAGCTCATCCTGTTTCCTCTAAATCAGAGGTCCCAAATTCAACTCAGTGCACCTGTCCTGCAAATGTGAGATGTTTCCCTGCTGCAACACACTTGATTCAAATCCCTGCCCCAGTTGGGAGGCTTGTGAATCAATTAACTATGTTTGTAGGCTATTGCTTTAATCTAAACCAGGTGTGATGAAGCAGGGAAACATCTCCCATTTGCAGGACAGTGGCCCTCGATGACCAGAGTTTGAAATCAACTTGCTACATTAGCTTTTTTGTTAGTGGATGGACTTATAAGCTTTTGCACTGTTCAAAATTATTTGGTTTAAAGTAGCGTCTGAGTTGCAAAGTTACTAATCTTTAACTGAACCAAAAGCTGTAAATTCTAGTTTTCCCATGAACATCTGAAAGCAAAATGAAAAGATTGAGGAGTTCTAGTTATTAGAATATAAGAGGCTGCTGTGTGTTTTTACAAGTTATGGTTTTATCACCACAACAAAGTAACTGTTATTAAATCCCAGAAATGAATTAGGGAATCTTGGTCTGTATTTCTAACCCAAAGGCTCTTCATTTCATCCACTTCAAACTTAGACGCTGTATTGCTGTGGACTACAGGGCACACGGTGTGATTTTCAAATATCTAATATTGTATTTTTCACATTTAAATAAAATGGCTGCTAACTGATTAACGTGCCCCCCTGTTCAATATGAAGTATCTTCAGGCACAAAGTTTAGAAAGGATCCTAATGCACAGATACATGTTAAATAGCTTTATTTGTAACATGTTCAAAGATCCGTGTGAACTTATTTTAAAGCATTAGTAAGGATTGTCACGGACATGCTCCATCATGTACTTCAAAGCCTGCCAAGTCTCTGTGGCGGTGGGGATGATCTGAGAAGATGGCAGCAGGAAACCATAGCGACCGGTGTCTCTCAGCTCAAAGGCAAACGAGTATTTGATGCCCAAATTGTAAGCCCAGTCAATGCTCCCACCACTGGCTTGGTCTGAGTGGAAAAGAAGTCATGAGAACAGTTTTCTCACTTTTTTCCGTTTTGATTCACATGAAACAAAAAGGGAACTTGGGTACTTACAGATGATGTTGCAGATGCTCCCGACCTTGTATCTGGTGCCATAGAGAGAAGTGAGTTTCTGTACAGCTGCTCTGCCAACAGAGTCCTGCAGAGTGGCAAAAAAAAAGGCAGATTAGTTTGCAAAACTGTACAAACACCAGTCAAAGATGCTTTTCCTCTCAAAAGTGAAAATAGAAAAACACACCCAAATCTATCGACAGGTCTCTGTAGAGTGAACCTCTGAAACCTCAAGGCCACACACACACATTATAGCAGTGTTGTCAGTCTAGCCCAAAGCTATTAGTGTGTGTCTGGGGGCTTAGTTGTGCATGAATGACCTCAAGATTATTAGTCCATTAGACATATTCCCAGAGTTCATTTGTGATGCTTAAACATGAGGAGCAGAGAGAGCTCAGTTAAGGAAGGAAAAATGAATGCATTAGAAATGAGTTTATAATTAATCAACCTTGAGGGAAATTATTTTAAATTCCAGAGATAAAACTTTAATTATTTCCCAAGACATTGCTTTCAGTGTACTCTGGAGTTAAAAACTGTGGATTGGCTTATCAGAATCTGGTCCTTATGCCTCTCAGAGGTCGAAATAGAAAGGAAACTTTGATCTACTAAATCTCCCTTTCACCTTTTCAGAGGACGTCTACAAAAGAAAACCTTGTTCAGAGCTGAAAAATGCTTATTTTTCAAAAATGTGCTTCGGTAATAACTCAATTTTTTTTCTGTTCTCACCAGCTCGGGCTGATCGGGCACGGCGATGTAGGAGTAGCCGTAGGGGTACATGAGCAGCTGAGAGTAGGCGTGGACGGAGATGAAGGACTTGAAGTTGCCGTGGCTCTTGATCAGGTCCACCACGTTCTTCACCTCGATCTCAGAGTGAGCAAAGGGGCCGTGGTAGGAGTCAGAGCAGGGGTATTTACTGGCCCCGGGGCCTGAGGAAACAGAGCTTAAACATTACTCCTGAACAGGTCATTGTATAAACAAAATCTTATGGGCTCATCCATTTTCTATACCCACTTATTGCAATTCAAGATGCATATCACAACTGTCATTTAGAAAGACTTGGTGCCCATTTTAGACAGGATATCAGTCCATTACAGGGAAAAAGGTCATATACATCATATTTATTTAATAAAACGAACAGTTCAGGTGGTGTTGGGGTTTCCCAGACCTGTACTTGTCGTACGCCATGCAAACCTACAAGTGTTTTATACACATTAATAAGGACTGTAAGAATGCTACACGTGTTTTAACAATGTGGTCAATGATGACAGCTCCTTTCAAATAAAATTATTATCAAAATGTTACACTTCTTGCTTAATTTTCTGGTTAAAATTCTTTGTCCAAAAAGTATGATTTAATTGAAAATAACTTGTTTTTGCCATTTTAGACAAGTAGCTTTTATCATTTATCACGCTCAACTAACTATAGGCTAATTTATAATTGGTCAGGACTATGGCATGTTTTAGTTTATTGCTTGGATGATGCCTAGTAATTCAAATTTGTTAATTATATTTATCAATAGTTTTACTTCTCTAACATTATTTTTTAGAAGTACTACAGGTTCCTCTTGCCATCCCAAAACACGCACGTTAAGTTAATAGAAGAGTCTAGATTTCTCCTATGATTGAGTGTGTGTATGTGATGTTATTGCCTCTGTGTGGCCCTGTGATGGACTGATGACCTGTCCAGGGTGTATCCCAACTCTTTCCCAATGTCAGATGGGATAGGGATAGGATTGCCCCCACTAAGAATAAGTGTATGGACAACGGATGGATGGATATTGCCCTTAAATACAACAAATAAAACAAAGCCCCATAATATGAAGCGCTTACATCATTTTAAAGAGGACAAAAAAACAAAAAACAAATCTGGAAAGCACTGACCAGCAAAGCCCGCATCCCAGTTCCTGTTGGGATCCACTCCACGGCACGAAGAGCCTGAGTTCCTGGAGCGAGTCTTACGCCACATACGGTCCTGCTCACACAGCATAAGTTAGTTTTCATATTCACATTTCACATTCATAGGTGCTTCAGACTCTGCATGTCTTTTTTTTTTGTTTGAAGAAAACCAGGAAAGAAACATTTCCTGAATATATGAAAAAAACATTCATATATATATATGTATGGGGTGATGGGCACCTACATTGGTGTGGGTATAAGCATAGCCATCAGGGTTGGCCAGTATCAGCATGTAAATGTCCATGGTGTTCAAAAGGGAGGTCAGGGAGACATCGGTACCGTAGTCCGTGGCAATCTGAGCAAAAACACAAAGCATGGATTTTATGGAAATCCTAAAAAGGAAACCTGTACGTTCTTGTTGTAAGTTTGATGTAGAATGACATTAAAATGGCATCTTTTTTACCTTGTTGGCTGTCCAGACTCCAGTGGCCTGAGACACCCACTCCCTGGAGTGGATGCCAGTGTCGATCCAGATAGCGGGCCGTTTGTTCCCACCGGTGCTGAACTAAACACAAAGGCACAAGAAACAAACTCAAGATGTGGAAGGCAAGCTTTTACACCGTGGTCTCCAAATGTAGATTCCCCCTGAAGAAGCAAATGTATAAAAACTGGTTAACGGTTGTTTTTCCATCGAGGCTTGAGGCCCATGTTGATACTGTTCATGAGCTTTAAATACATTTTTTAAATGCACAAACCGCAGTCTCCCATGCTTCCCTCAGGGACATCTACTTAAAATCCAGTCTGTGCAATATTTGTGATTTTTGACAAAACCAAAGACAAAAACACTCATGGATTGTTTCAATTCTGACAGCCTGGATAACCTCCAGCCCCAACGCAACCCCACCAGGACTAAGCTGCACAGGGAATAGATGGATGGATGTTTTCACTCCTTCTCTGTTTTCTCATTCGATGCATGTAGATTTATGAATATTCAAATCAGCCCCAATCCACATTCCCACACACCAGAGGCTTTCCCTTCAGTCCTCTCTCCGACTGTTTAATTAATCTAATCTTCAGTTTAGCAGTTGGAATACATGGATAATTTATCAAATCTCAAAGAACAACTCTCAAAAGGAGGAAGCTAAACTGTACGATTCGGCTGCAATTGGAAACATGAGGTTAGTTATCTATAGCTCTCAGGTCTGAAGATAGTTTGTTACAAGCTTGGCTAGCTCACGAGTTTCTGGCCAAGCAATCTCAGCTTTCTTACAGCTCTAGAAGTGCATCTTCTTAGAGCTTTTCCCCCAAACACGTGACCAAGGCCCTTCTGTGTTCATTTTCTGAGCTGGACTTCCAAGATTCTGCTGCCAACTTTGCCCTCGCTTCTATCTCCTTTATGTTTTGCTCTGACTTCTTACAAAAAAAAGAAAAAAAGAAAAAAGCCTGATAACATTAAAAGCTATATTTTGGATTTGAAACCGTCCTACCTTGAGCACATACATTGGCCTGTTCTCATAGGATCTGCCAATCTCCACCTTGGTCACCAGCTTTGGATACTGAGCCACAAGGGTGTCCATCCAGTTGTAGATCTGTAGGCAGATGGAGCGACAAGTAGCCATCAGCTGAATAAGCACATTTTTTATCACAATTTTTGACAGGCGTGAAAAGTTCAGCTCATTCAAACCCTACGGGAAAAAAACGTCTATGTCTCTCCAGACAAGAGCTGAATCCTGCCGTGTTTACATGTCATATTTCAACAATATTTAGTTAACCTGTCAGCTATTGGGGTGAGTTCTCCAAGTTATAAAAAAGGTTTTGGCTGAGTTCAGCTGTGGTGCATACAGAGTGTTCTGGTTTGTAAGCCTACTGTCTCCAGAGTATGATAGGCTCCAAAGTTGAAGCTTTTGGTAGTGCGCTCCTTCATCTGGTTCTCCATCATCTCAGCTCCCTCCGAATCAATGAGATCCTGAATTAGAAAGGCAAGAGATGCAGAATTCCCATTCACTGTCATTCACGGCTCAAAACCGAATTCTGAGTCTCGGAGGTTACAAACCTGGACGTTGTCAATCATGACGGAGAAGGGAATGTTGTGGGCATCCAGGAAATTTTTCACCGAGCTCAGACTGGAGCCTGGCACTCGGACATCTACAGGAAGCTCAGTAGAGACTGGGTCGAGCCAGAAATCCAACTGTGCCCGAAAAAAGCAAACAAAAATGAATCCAAAACACTGGAAATTGACAATACACAAACACTGAAAATATGGAAGTCTTGTTGGGACAGTAAAAATGTAATTATGTAACAAAATCTGTTAAAAAAACATTTTTTAAAAGTGTGTAGCAAAAAAAGAGAATAAGTAGAATAATTTTATTACATAAATCAAACATGGAGCAAAGAGATAATTAGGTTTTCTGGTTAAGCGAATATGATCGATGGTGTACGCATGAAATAGTTCAGTTCATATACCCCCCACTCCTCTGCCTCCTCCAGAGCCTGCAGGAGCTGGATTTGTTCCTGTGACTGCACATTGATCCTGATCACCTGATCCCTGAAAGATATATCGAATGAATAATAAAGATTACATCAGCTCTTAGGGGATGTTATTTAAATTAAAATGGGCTTTGGACATAATAATGACTGTAATATACAAACTGAATGTCTCACTGTATTTACCTTTTAGAACAAATGGGTTATCATCGAAAATGTCCAAGATTGACATTGGTATGGACATTAATTTAACACACTTAAATTCAATGTTATCCAAAATTGTGTTATAGCCTATAAGGTGTTTGTCAAGATTAAGCGACAAATGCTCATTTTTTCAAATGGACTGAAAGACATTAGATGTTGATTAAGAGATAAATATCACAATTTTCAGTTCTCAAGAGTTAAGCCTTGGAGTTAATTTTTTCCAAATCCATTAGCATTCTGGGGAAGTTTGTACATTTTTAATAAGAGAGCTGGAAAGACAAAAAAGTGTTTCATGTGGATCTAAAGTTTTGACTCTCTTATCTGTGGACGCAAATCAGAGCGGCACTTTTTTTAACTTGTCCTGAAGTTTGAGGAAAGCCAGGTGCTCCCACGCACCAGTTCTGGTCTCCAGCGAAAATAACTGCGCCACGCAGATTCATTTGCAGCCTTATGACCAAACACTGTTTTAAAAGTGGTTTAAATATCTGTAAAAGTTTTTTAGAGACCAGTCTGGAACCGAACCCTTTGTATCAGTGTGGTCCTGTGGTGGACTGGACCTGTCCGGGGCGTTAAGGGGACTAGATCCCCCTCATACCAGCTGTCAGCTGGGAGAGTCCCCCCACAACCCCGTTGGTAATAAGTGGTATATGGATAGTCTCACATTGTTAAAGAATTGGGGTTTCAAATATTTCCTCATGTGCAAATGAATACAAATGAGTAATTCACCTTTAGAGTAGTGTGTGAGACTGATATGAGAGCAATAAAATTAATTCTTCAATAGATGTCAACGCAATACCATTTTTGTGTTTTTTATCAATCAATGAAGAACAGACAGATGTGGATGGAAATTGTCTGTGCGTGTTAAGGGAGACAATTTAAATTTTGTATCTCTTTTCTTAAGAACACATGGCTTATAAGTTGAGACGGTTGTTAAAAACAATTGTTTAAAACAAATCAAGTCATATATCTAAACTTTTTATTGACTTTTAAATTCCCGTACTTTGATGGGAATTCTATTTTTGACCAATTTCTTTGGATAAACAGCAGCATGTTTGTATTTCAGCGCTTTCTGAGTTCATCACACATACACATGATTATTCTAGAAATGTGAACTCTTCCACTCAAGCAAAAATATTCATAACAGGTTGAAGAAGCAGAGCGAACTGACAGAATACACTCCAGCTTTAAACACTAAAAGATGAATGCTAGAACAACCATATGATGATCAGTGCAAGTGTTAGAGGATGAACTCACCCGGTGAAGAGTCTCTCAGCTTTGGCCGCGGCCACAAAAACCAACAGAAGCCAAAGCCCTCTCATCATTCCTGTGTGTCAGGAGCTGCTGCTCCTCCGGTCTCTTAATATCCTCGGGTGGCAGGTGGGAAGTTCTCACGCGGGAGCATTAACCCACGCTTCTGAGAATCGTACAGATTTCTTGCAAAGAACAAGATTATTTTGAGGTCTGAACATGCTGACTGGGCTGTGTTTGATCTTTTCACTTCCCAGCTGCAGATAGCGGCAGTTTCCCCACACACAAACCTTCCTCAGATGAAGGTTTCCCTCTTCCAACACTAACACACACTGCAATAGAGTCATATATGTTGAGCAGCTTGACTTTGCCCCGAGGAAGCAGGCCTTTAAGTCACACATCACAATACCTCATGAATATGGCAGAAGCTGTACATTACTGAGTCGTAGTTGTAGGCTATGTGCTTCCATGAGCTGTGAGCAGTTTTGAATAAAAAATTCAAAGCCTGTGGAATTTTCTTTTGCAGAGAAAAACACTTCTATAAATCGAATTTTCACCATCCGAAGTCAGTCCTGCAGGTTTCCCTGCTTCAACACACCCGATTCACGTCCCTGTTCCATTGTGTGGGGCCTTTGCAATTACCCATTTCATCAGAATCAAGGAAACTTCCGAAACCTGCAGGACAGTGGCCCTTGAGGACTAGAGTTGGACACCCCTGGTATAGTGGGTCCAGTCGGTCCTTTATCTCAGGGCCTCGAGGGCCGCTGTCCTGCAGGTTTTAGAGGTTTCCCTGCTTCTAAACACCTTCACATCAACAAATAATCAACAGCCCTTTGCAGAGCGTTACATTCTTTTGAAGAGATCCATTATATGTGTGTGGTTGTTTGTCTCTGTGTGACCCTGTGATGACTGGCTTCTGAGCTATCTTTAGCTCGGATAGGCCCCAGCGAAGAGTGTAGAAAATGGATGGGTGGATGAAAACACAGCAGAAGTCCATTAATAATCTATTAAATATAAAAAAAATATTAAAAAAATTGCATAGCAGTGTTCTTTAAAAAAGAGCCTTTCATTTATTTCTTGCCTCTAATAAATGTTTCTACTGCGTCAGTGACTGGAAAATTAAATATGGAAATATCAACCAAAAACTACTTTAAACTGGTTGAACCACAATGATATTTGTATTTGAAATAAGGGTATTGTGTGTATTTACAGCATTCATAATTTAATAATCAGGTTTTACCCTAATCCCAGCGAGGTCTTTGAAGTGGAACCACAGGCCAATTTCTTCAAACTAAAATGGCCACTCCTCTCTGCATTGCTTTTCTAATGGGATCTAATCTGTGTCGCCTGAGCTGGTCTGATGTTTTCTTTCTTTTTTTGGGTGTTAAAGTTTGCCTCACATTTTCAATTCTTGTACGCAACTGTTTGACCAGGGAACGGAAGCCTGTGTCTACAATGTCTTCCTCTATAGCATTTTGCAAAGATTTGGGATATTTTGCTCCCATTTCTTTGCTTTTTACCTACCTCAGGTGAATCTGGACCATCTGCCGCCTTTGTTTTGGACCTGGCTTTTTTTCCCTGTCCAAAGAATGCTTTGCTTCCTGGGGAAACTTAGTCCATGGAATTTTAAAGTTGTCCTCCTACTGTGTGTCAAGTCCTGGGCTAATGGACGATGTTGATGATGAACTTCAAGAGTGAAAAAGCAAAAAACTGTAAATAAATGTCTGTTTTGTGGAGGAGTTTATCCTAAGTCAGGTAGCTTTGGCGGTTTTTATCTGTAAGTGTTTTTTTTTTTGTTTTTTTGCTGCAGCATTAAAGTCTTTGACGTAATAAAGAACGCTTCCATTCCAAATGCACAGCGACTGTACTTGCGTCCTTCCATCGTCAGCAGTTAGAAGTTCTAATAATAATTATGACAATAATAACTCTTCATAGAAACAGTCAAAGAGACTTTGGGAGGATTGGAGAGCAGCTTGTTCAGGATCTATTGCTCATAGCTGACTCAAACGTCTCCAGTTTCAGTCCAATAACTTTGCCAGCCTCTCTTTTGAGTCCGTTGATCCTGCTGGCATCCCTGGCACTGATGCTGAGCTCAGCTATACAAGTAAGTTTTAATCAAATAACCACCCCTTCCACGTTGCAGGACCTTTAATTTATGTATGGTGGGTCTTTTTTCCGCTCTGTCTTCAAAAACTGAAAGCTTGTAGATATATATATATATATATATATATATATATATATATATACTGCAGATGCAGAAAGTATTAAATCAAGGTACTCTAGAGGAAAAGAACAAAAACACTTTAAAAAGACATATAAGAAAACTCTGATACTGGATTTTAGAGAGATTTTCAGTTGATCCATTCACGGCAAACTCAAGCCTCATTAAAAAATGGCCTCAAGTATCTGTCAAGGAACAGGAAACAGTCAGTATACCTGATAATAAGTGTAAAGTAACAAGGGGTAGGCTTTGGCACAGCATCTTCGTCCTATACTGTGATTCATCTTCCATCCACAGCCACAAACCCACAGTATCACTGACTCATGTCTCCCCAGAGCAGACGGTTTAAATACCAGAATAGATATGTCCATGATAGCCTTTACTTAGAGGTCATCTAATGCACTTGGGGTTTAATACTTTAGTTTAATTAAAAAAAATGAATTCTGAAGGCATATCTGTTTCACGAATTCCAACATGCTCCTGTTACTCCATAACAACAGCACAGAGGACCATTTTAAGTCTAAAAAAGGAACACTGGGATGGCCTCCAAAGAGTCCTGAACTGAACTGCTAACTATTACACACTTAAAAGGATCTGGAATACTGACATACTGTAAAGCCAAACAGGTTTAGGAATATTAAGTCAAATGCCAGAAAGGGACGACTCTGGGTTATTACCTGAGGAGACACTCGCACCTGATAGGAGTAGATCTCACACGCAGACCTGATTTGCTGCCGTAAACGAAGCATTGAACTGACAGCTGCATGTGGACACACCCACCAGTAGAGGGCAGCGCATTACCACACTGACACCCTAAAACTACAACAAGTGACATCAGATTATCCATCCATCCATTATCGTTACCTCTTATTCCGTAATAGCGTCGGTGGGACTGGAGCCTATCCCAGTAGCCAATGGGGAGAGGCCGGGTCACCAGGCGGTCCCCAGTCCATCACAGGGACACACAGAGACACACAAGGACCAACAACCACACACACTCACACTAAGGGCAGTTTGGAGTCCAACAACCTAACATGCAGGTTTTTGGACGGTGGGAGGAAGCCGGAGAACCCGGAGAAAAAACCCACAGACACAGGAGAACATGCAGACTCCACCCAGAAAGGTCCTGGTTCCCCCGGGACTCCAACCCAGAACCCTCTGGTCCTGGTTCCCCCGGGGACTAGAACCCAGAACCTTCTTGCTGTGGGACGATGGTGCTAACAACCACAACACCGTGCCGCCCACATCCTATTATCGAGGCTGGAAAAAGCCCACATCGCAAATCATATCCACTTATTGGCACCAAAATTTGATTTTGAGGCTGTACCTTTATGGTTGAGAGACAAAAACCACGCTTAACAACAAGAGGATTTACGAGGAGGCCTTGAATTAGTTGAACATGCTGACATATTTTCTGTTTAAATATGAAGTTGTGGATCTGGATCTGTGAGTCTAGATCCCATCTTTCTTTGGGCTCTTGGGAGTCATTTCAGTTTCAGAGTATGCGTTGGCCATGTCACATACATCCTGCCCAGTCATTATGCTTTGAGACCTAAAACTTGAGTTTGGGGTTTAAGATGCTTCTTGAGCATCTGGCCCAGTGTTCCCTCTGTGTGACAAACAAACTCCCATTTCATTCCAACTTGAGGAGAAATTGGAGTTTTTTGCGTTATTCATGAGGACGATCTGCTGGTTGCCATCAGCCTGTGCCCCCCAGCACACATCCCAAACCTGCTCCGTTCCAAGAATTCATTAAAAGAGGTTTTACCATGTCGCTTCCTTTCCCCCTCATTCTTAAACAATCCCACAAGACGGAGTGAGAGCAGGGAGTTTAATATACAGGGGACCAGGGAATCCAGTTGTGGCTCTCCATCTTTCTCATTGTGGAAATTATTTATTGCTCCTTTTGCCGTGCGTATCTAAAAGTTTAATGTCCCTGTGAAATGTGGTTTTACATGCAAATGTGGGCGGTGTGTGTTGTGTGTTTTCCCATCTTTTGTCCCATGTCATTTGCCTCTAAAAGCTATACGAGCAAGGTACCCCTGAACAGTGAGTTCCACATGACTTCCCCTGAACTAAAAATAGATCCATTTACATTGCATTTCATGCCTGAGCTGCCTCTCAATATTTCAGAGGCCCACTAGAAAATTGACCATTAATCATTTATTGGTCACTTGCTCATCTAATTTTGCAGAAAGTACAAGTGCTGGTATTACAGAAGCTGGCACTTTTTTCCCGGGTTGAGGATTTTCTCTGTCGAACCAAAAGAGTGACAGAAATGATCGATCTGTGTATAGTCTTTTTTATTTTTTTTGTCAATGTTTGATGTTGTTAGGAGTTTGTTAGCTGGTTAAATGAGCCTGTCGGCCATGTCCCCCCTCCCCTTTGGCCTGTCTAGTAGTCAGATAGTGGAAGCAAGGAGAAATAAGTCCGTAAGCTGTGGAAAGACTTATTCTTTTTGGTTTTTTTTTAGTAGAGACTGTCTCTCATCCCAGCAAAGAATAACTGAAAAAAGCCAGAACTGTCAGGCGTAATGAGAGCAAGAGACAGTTTCTCTGATCAGTGATCTATGATGCATCCAGATAAATCGTTGACCTATGATTTAGATCACAACGTCAGCTTGGCAGGGCACAGACTTCTAAAGACATTCTGATCCACCTGGATCCAAATGTCAAACCGGATCACAGTTTGAAACAATATTACACACTGCTGGGAGAAAAAAAAATTTGAATCATATTTGCTCTGGCAACATCTTGATGTCCGCTTTTGTGAAGCTATCAACGCAGATCCAACTGAATTACACCAGCTTCTTTGTTTCCAGGAAAGGCCAAAAGGCTCCACCACAGCCCTCACATTTCATTAGCTTTTCAGGATGTGGGGATGTGTTACAAAGCAATTGCTTTTCTACACACCGGGCAGATTTAGCAGCCGCGGCCTTCATGTGGAGCAATGATCCAGGCCGCATTATGAGTTAATTTATTCTCTTTTATTGTAGCTTAGTTGTTTCGGATACACTTTGAAGCCAGGGTGATAAAGTGGTTGTTAGACCTGCTTTCCG